CCTGGCAGTGGGGCCAGGTTACAAGGTGGTGCCAAGTATGGGGCGGGGTTGGGGGGATGCAGCCCCTCGCCCACCCCATGCCCGGTGCCCCACGCTGCAGCTACTCGCAGCCAGCCTGGGGCTGCCTGTGCCTGCTCCGGACAGCCCCACATGGGCTGTGAACGGCTGCATCGTGGGGCGCCAGCCACAGGGTGGGGAAGCGGCTGCTTCCCCACACCCCGGATCCTTCCCTGCCTGGGGTCCCCCCCCTGCCCTTCTTCCCCCCGTTTACCTGCGGTTCAGTCACGGGGCAGCCACGTGCTCCCAGGCCTGAAGCCCCAGCAGGGACTTCCGGCTCCGGAGGCAGGGCCAGGCGGGCCCGCTGTTATTGGAGCCTGCCGGGCTTCCTCTGGGTCCTACTGCCCTTGCTTCCTGTCATTTTTGACAGGAACCAAGGGCAGAGAAGTATTCATTTTTTAGAATTTTTAGGGGCCTTGCGGGCTGGATAGAATGGCCTCAGCCAGATCCGGCCTGCGGGCCATATTTTGCCCACCCCTGCTCCAAGAGTTCAGTCTTTCAGTTGCCCTAGATCAGTGCTTCCCACACTTCTCCTCAGCCCCATTTCCTCAGCATGACTCCATTTCCTCATAATGGCCTCTTGCTCCCAACCTACAGTCCCCCCACCCCCTCGACCCCATCCACTGATGTTGCAACCCTATTTGGGGTCACAACACACAGCTTGGGAACCACTGCCTTAGATTATAGCTTGGCAGAATTCAGCAAATTCTTGTGTACACAAGAAATTATGCCCCATATTGTCACCACCACTATTACTTTCTTCCAATTGAAAGACTGAGATTAGGAAGCTCAAGGTTAGAGCTAACATATAACTAACCATTGTTGTTAATGTAACAAATAATTTATCTTTCATATAATGATTACAACTATAAATATCAAAATAGTGTTTTCAAGTCAAATGTTAGAATGACTGAGCCTGTTTTTCTTATTATAGATCCAAGTCGGTTTCAGGATTGTTGGAGACTTTCTGATGGTTTTGTAGCAGCTGAAGCTAAAACTATATTACCCCATCGAGCCAGATCAAGGTAGCACATTGACTAAAAGTAGCTAAATAAACCATTCTTTGTTGTTGTTTTCTTGCTTTTATAATGACAAAATGAGAGAAGAAATGCACATTTCTGAATGGCTTTTTGCATGTTTTTTAGACCTGACCTCATGGATAATTATTTGGCTTTGGTGCTTTCTGCTTTCATTACCAATGGACTTTTAGAAGTAAGTGAAGATTCCAGCTGTGAATAAAATATTTATAATTTTCACCATGTATATTAAGGAATCTATTATAAAATACACATTTAAATATTGCATTTTATTTTTGAAGGGCCTAGTTGAGGTAATTACAAGCAGTGATGACCATGTGTCTGTCAGAGCAACTATCCTATTAGGAGAACTTTTGCACATGGTAAGTTTGGGGCTTGTTGTTTCTTATAGGAAAGATTTGGTAGCACCGTCTCTTTGGTTGCTTGATGCTTTCAGTTCATGGGACCCTGTACTCAGTTGTTTGTAATGTTTGCCAAAAGCACGCAGAGAATAAGTCTGTGTGGCACAACATATAGTGCTCTGCATTGATGTTTGAGGCCTTGGACACACATTACTTAAGTAGCAGCATATACACAGTTGTAATGCTACAAAAAACGAGTTTCTTCACATCCTTATTTGTAAGCAGAGCTGTCCCTTGAGGGGAGAAGGCAGGGGGTGAATGGGAACGTATACCCTGGGCCCCGCACTTTGTGGGGCCCTGTGGACAGTGCTGTACAGGCCCTGCCAAGGGCGCCACCACTCCGCATGGCCACCGTGCGCTGCCAGCTCTGCACTCCAGCTGCTTGCCCCCCCCACACCTGTCCTCACAGGCTAATATGCCCTGGGCCCCTCACACCCCTAGGGTTGACTCTGTCTGTAAGGCTACAGTTATGGCAGATCTGCCGCAAAGTTCCTGCTTCAAAGTGGAACTTCTTTGTAGTGCCACATTTTGTAGTGTGGCAGGTTGTTTCTTGGGGTATAAATAGAGATTATCAAATGAATTGGATCATCAGATCCTGGTACAGCTGATCTGCGTTATTGGGTAAAACATATCACCCTCTGTCCTGCGGAGTCGGGTCCTTGCTATTCCAGCTGGGCCTGCCCCATAAAATTGCACCTGGTGCTGCACCCAGGGATTCCCTGACACACCTCTTAAAATGGGAAAATATGGCCATAGTGCTCCCAGGGCTTCAGGTGTCCAATCCTGCTGGGTCTAGTAATTAATCCAAAAGGGAATTCCTGGAGTGTACAGGATCAGGTGTCTGAAGCCCCAAAAGCACCTGCTTGGGGCAGTGGGTTAGTATCAGCAGCTCTGCCAAAACGCAAATGGACATAAGTTGCCAAAAAGTGTCACAAATTTTTACCACCTTTGTCATGGAGACAATTTTGGGCACTTGCAGTGCAACAGGAGGCATGCACATCTGTTCGCTTGGCTTTTGTGCCACCATAAAAATGTTTATGGTGGTACAAAGGCAGTGTCTGTTTCCACCCTCAGACCTCCAGCATCCCAGAGTGCTCCGTGCTCTCTTCTCCCTCCAAGGGAGGAGGGAGAAGCTGGTTCCTGACAGTCTGGTGAGATAGCTGCAGAGTTTAGTGAAGTGGGGGGCTGCGGCTGTCAAGCTTTTGACCTCCTCAACCCCCCCACCCCGGATGGCGGGGCACGCAGAATAGCTGATTCTGTGCCTCTGCTGCCTCTAAATGATGCCAGCATTGGCAACATCTGGAAGGCAGTCTCCTGTAGAGGGAGGGGAAGCAAAAGAGCAACCCCCTATCCTTACCTCCCCTTCCCCTGCAGGGGGCTTTGCACATGTACAAGCTTCATAGCACTGTTTTTTTAACTCTACAAACATAATGGGTCGAAGACCTCTCAGAACTCTTTTCAAGCTAACTTGCGTATGAGAAGCAGTACTTTGCTTTGTCAAACACCTGGGAGACCATGCACAGAAGCTATGTTAAAAGGCTATTCTTAGGCTACAAATTCAACCACTCTGAACTCATGAAGGAATATTATCTCAAATTCAGCCTTCTTGTGCATGTGTGTTATAATGCATTCATTAATGCCAGGAGCACCCTGGTTTTTTTGGGTGCCTAGCCAGGTGTCCTCTGTTTTGTACTTGTGTTTTTGATTATTCTCCTGAGGTGTAGCACCTTCCAGTTATTCACACTGAACTTCATCCTGTTAGCTCTAGCCCAGCTTTCCAATCTGTAAGTATTCTTCTGAATTGTGCTTGCATTCTCCAACATTTTCACAGTCCTTCCCAGTTTTGTGTCGTCTGCAGCTTTGCTCAAAAAACTTTCTATGCCAGCATCCAAATCATTAATGAATATGTTGAACAGTACCAGGACAGGCCTCTGTGGGACTCAGTTTGAAACCTCTTGCCATTCTTATATAGGCCAATTAATAATTACCCTTGTTTGTGACTATTGAACCAGTTATCTATCCACTTTATAGTAATTTTTTTCAATCTATTTTTCTTCTTTTTTTGTGAAAAAGTTCTACAGTACTTTAAGTCTAGGTACATCATATCCACAGCATTCTTTCATCCACCCAGGTAATTAATTTGTCAGAGAAGGAGAATAAGTTTGTTTGACATGATGTGTTTTTCATAAATCCCTGCTGACAGCTTATGATTGGCCTTTCCTACTCCAGATGCTTGCAAATAGCCTTCCTTAGGATATGGCCCAGTAACTTCCCAGGTATTGAGGTGAGACTAACCAATCTGTAGTTCCCTAGGTCCTCCTTTTTGCCTTTTTTTAGGGAGGGACACTACTTTGGCCCTTTTCCAGTCCTCTGGTACATAGCCTGTATCCCAAGACTTCATGAAGATCATTCCCATGGGCTTCCAAATCTCCTCTGCCAGTTCCTTCAGGACCCTGGGGTGAAGTTAATCTGGCACATCTGACATGAATTTATTCAGACCCACCAAAAGCTCTTGGATCATCTCTTTTGTTATCTCTTCCCTCAGCTCACTGCCTTCCTTATCCAAATGATCCTTATTAAGTGTCTGGTTGCAGCTTAATTTTTTTGTGAAGACTTGGCAAAGTAGGTGCTGAGTCTCTCTGTCTTCTTTCATCTTCAGTTAGGAATTCCCCCTGGCTTGTTAACAGAGGGCCCACAACTTCCTTTGTCCTTCCTTTCTGGTCATAATGCTTATAGAACCTCCTTTTGTTGTCCTTGACCTCCTTTGTCCTTGACAAGGTAAAGCTTGTTCTTTATTATTACCTTCCTGGTGTAGTCCCTGCAGGTTCTTGCTATTTCCTGGCATGCTTCCTGGGTGACCTGCTGTTTCTTCTGTTGCTTGTATGCTTTCCTTTTGTATTTGCTTCCTTGGTGACCTGCCCTTTCTTCTGTTGCCTGTATGCTTTCCTTTTGTATTTGAGGCACTTTAGAAGCTCCTTGTGAAGCCACATTGGTGTCTTGCCATTCTTCTTGTGCTTCCATCATGTTGAGACAGTTTCTTGTTGGGCTTCCAATACTGTGCCCTTTAGAAGCTCCCAGCCCTTCTGACCACCTTTGTGCTGCAGTCTGCCCTCCCATGACACCATGCCTGCTGTGTCCTTAAATCGATTGAAACCTACTTTTTTTAAATCTGGTGCCCTGATTTTGCTGATCTTATGCTTTCCCTGGGTCAGGATCTGGAATTCTGTCATATCGTGATTGCTTCCTCCCAAGTTACCCATCACCTTCATATCCTCCACCAGTTTTATCCTGTTAATAAGGACAAGATCCAAGATGATCCTATAGCTGTATCTGTACTTTCTGGAAGAGAAAGTTGTCCTCCACACAAGTTAGGAAGCAGCTTGACATTTTATGTTTGACTGCATTGTTCTTCCAACAGATGTCTAGAAAACTGACGTTTCCATCTGTACTATCCCATAGCTTTTGAATAGATTTGTCACCTGTTTGAACACAAATCTTGTTCCTCCCAAACCAGGGAGCAAGTGTATGTGTTTTTGACATACAAGGCAACACCACCAGCTTTTTTCCAAACCGCGTCTTTCCAAAACAGAGTTGATATTCCAGTCGCAGCGTTGACATTCCAAACAATGCTGACATTCCAGTCATAAGAACTGTCCTACCAGGGCTCTGTGATGCCAGCCAGATTGTAGTTCTTTTCACAGGTTTCAGCTTTTATTCCCCATACTAATTGCATTTTTGTACGTGCATTGGCCATATTTGCATTTTGACCTACTCACTTCCCTTTTGCTTCACTTGTTGTGGTCCTATAGCTCTCTGGCCCTTTCCCAGAATTAAGTTGCTCTTTGAGTCCTTTCCCTTGTGGACCACGTGCTGTGTTGCTGGAGGGTTTTGGTCACCATCCCCCATGGAATCTAGCTGAAAGATAGCAGAGACAGAAATGAAATCTGATTCTTCAGGATAGTATTGGTCTGCCAACTATTGTGTCTGTTTCTGCAATCTGCTGCCACAGTCACTATGCATCTTCCAACTTCTGCAGCTTCATGCCCAAAGCAAGTCATTTGCTTGCTCTGGAGGAGACAAGGGACCCTGTAGAAAAATAGCTTGTGATCATGTAGTTAAAGACTATCATAATCTATGTGCCTCATGGGCTAAATTAACATTTGACAGGCAGCTTTTGGCACTTTCTAATACTGTAATATTTGTTTTTTCCAATATTAATGTTCTTTACCGTAGACTTTGTTTAATTCTTTAAGGCCCCTGGCATTATTAACTTAAGACATGATTAACGAGTTAATAATATTTAAAGTAGTAACCTGGGAATACGTTCATACACTTAATGCTGCAGTAAAACAGAAAATAAGCCAAACATTTCTTACACAAAATATGTGTAATAACTTTGTGACTGGTTCCTAGTGTGCCTTAAATTGAACAGATGGCCAGCACCGATCAGCTGATCGGCGCTCCCAGGCACAGAAGCATACTGAGCTCTTCAAGACTCCAGTGCATAGTAACAATGTAGTTGCAATCACTGAAGGTGTGCGAGGAATGTGTTTTTGAGAAGGAGCTTACTGGTATTGGAGTATTGTCTGTAATGAATCCTCAGTGTTGTAATGCTCCAAGTGAGAGTAACTAGATTTTCACTTCCAGAGAATGCTGCAAGGCTCCTTTGCTTTTCCATAATTTTTCTTAATTGTAGCTAAATAGTTTGACATGGGAGATTTATTTTTGCAAAAAATGAACAAATGGTTAAACTGGGGTAGAGAGAGAGATTCACTATGGAATGGATGAGGAAATAGTTCTGTCCTGAGTTTGTTTTACTACTAATGCCTCTAGATGTTTCCATTGCTTTGGATCAGTGCTTATTTAAAAATTAAGTCATTTTAAATATAAGTTTATGAATGAAACTATATTAATGTTACAGAAATACTACCATATTTTCTCACATATAACACATACCTTTCCTTTGAAAATCAGACCCCCCCACCACCTTGGATAAAATCACCCTGCTTTTATTTCTGCTCCACAGTGGAGCAGCTGTGGCATTGCTATTCAGGCACTGAGAGTTCTTCACTGTACAGGTATTAGTAATCAGGTATCCCTTTTTAATGTTCTTGATGTTACACTAATCAAGCCGCTAACATTCCTTAAAGCAATTCTGCTGGCTACTCCTGGTGTCTGTCTCTCCCTCTGTCTTCTTCTCTCGTATCCCTGGAGACTCTTTAGCACTTTTCAAAATCAGGTATCTTCCTACCCGCCCCCCTTCTGCCCCCCAGAGACCAGTCTTCAGCAGAAGCTAGAATTTCAGCTTTAGTTAAATGGAAAAGTGAGAGTCAGTCAAATGACAATTAGTCTTCATGTGTCCCTCCTCTATACAGCTATAGCTCTGGAAAAATCTCTCCCCCTCCTTCATCCTGCCTTTCAGAAACAAGATACATATTATATTCTGGGGTGTGTTGTTTGCAAGAAAATAATACCATATTTTTTTAGTATGTTGTGGCAACTGTAACAAAATCTTTGGCTGCCAGATAATCCAAAGGGTCACTATCAAGTTAAAAAATAATTATACTTCCTATTTCAAGTCTTTTCAGTATTGTTAGAAGTTTTACCTGGGCCTATTGCAATTGAGAGAGAGAAGATGATTTTATTTTATTTATTTGCATTTAGTTTGTCTTTGATAACCTGGTATTATATTTACACTGTATATTGATTGTAAAACCATAAATTATCTGGGGACCCACAGGCAAGTCTAGTGCCTAAATCTACACTCCTTTGTAAAAGTGTACTAAGTATAATTGTGTCATTTATATATTTGGGTGGTTTAATGTATTTGGGAACTAAGCATCAGTCATATATAAGAAAATGTTCCAAGCCTTTTATGCTATGTGAAGAGTAAATAGACTATGTTGTATTTACAAAAGTCCCTTAAAAATTGGGAGGGGGGTACGTATAGGGACGTATGGCTGAAGCTGTATAATGTCAATATATAGTTAGGCCTGATTTTTAACAATCAATATATGTCTTCCTTTTCAGGCAAACACAATTCTTCCTCATTCACATAGCCATCACTTACATTGTTTACCAACGCTAATGAATATGGCAGCATCTTTTGACATCATGAAGGAGAAAAGACTGTAAGCATGCAAAGTTGTCCTAAAATATTAAAAACACTGGGAATGAATGAACACACACATTATATGCTTACTATAGTTAAAATCACGTTTTAAAAAGTGTGTCCATGTAGAAATGTCCTTTGACACTTAATGGACACATGCTTCCAATTACAAATGATAGTATATATAGGCAGTACCGGCAACTACAGTTTTCAGAGCACACTGCTGAAAATACAATGTATAGATAGGATTGATCCTGAAATTGGACAGAAATGAAAAGCAGGTTTAATGTTTAATATCAATATCTGCTCTTTATGCCAATGACACTTAAAACAAACATTCCTCATAATAAATGTGAAGATAGAATCTTATTTCATGTTTTAAAGTTTCCTTTTATAACATACCAGTATTTATATTGCAGCTCAGTAGCAGTTTAAATTTCTTTCTTTTACATGTAGTGTATTTTATTGAGGACAAAATTCATTTTATATATTCCATGTTTCTTTATAGTGTCTACTCAGATTTCTGTGTGATTTTTTTTCACTAGTAATTGAGCTTTTGAAAAAACATGATCTGCAGAGGAAAACAATTTTGTAGCTAACTTAAAAATATCTTCATCTTTTGAGAGGTTTCTTATGATCTGGCTTTTCAAATTTCTATTCTGTAATAAAATAGAACATTACTTTTATTTTTCTTCATTAACTTTCTGTTAATAAATTGCTGAATTATTGTCAAGCTACTGTAGTGTAATAACTGTATTAAGCTGTATGGCTATAGAGGGTATTATAAAATAATAATAATAATAAAGATTTCTGGGGAAGATTTCCTAGGTGCCTGGCATAGGATGTGATGAGATAAAAAGAAAGATAAATCGTAATTTAGGTTAATACATTTAGTGGCATCATTTTCAGTTATGTGGTTGTTACTTGACTTGCACCTCTTTTACAAATATAGTTAGTGTCAACAAAGGGATAAAAATCATATAGCATGGATACATTTTTAAAAGTACAATGAATATTAGATTTCAAAATGTACTGACTGGAAAAATAAAAATTCACAAAATGGTTTCATTGTAGACTTTGGCCTGTCAGAGTTGTCAAATTATAATTTAAATTGTTCATACGGACTTAAGTGGATACGAGGAGAGGAGTGGAGGAACAATAGCGGTATCTGGTAACCTCTAATGCATGGTTTCCACGTTTTGGGGCAGTGGGTGGGGTCTGAGGAACCAAAGAGCAGAAGTGGCATTCCTTCACTTTGCTCTTACCTTCCCCTTAATTTAGTTCAGTTTTTTGCATTCTAGGCCTTGGGAAAATAGCTCAGCCCTCTTCACTTTTCCCTACGTCTTTCTGCTTCTTCAGAGTCCTGTAACAAGCTAAGCTTTCAAGTTTGGTTTGCTTTCAAATAACACATATGTTAAAGGGCTTTTAAGGTAATGGAAATATCACCCCCAAAAAAGTGGATGTATATCCTGGTATTGCAGAATATAAAATGGGTCCAGTATCTCCCCACATTCTACTTTTCAAGCATCTCTAAATTTAATTGACACAATTGAGCCTTAGCTGCTGGGGGGAAAGGTATATCTATAGTTTGTAGCATTCAGTGTTACAGTTGTTATTTCAGTTGACTGGCTATTTAAGTCCTGAAGCTAGTTTGGGATTATCTCTTAGAATGTCATGTATTTTTCATTCATATTTCCTACCTTTTTAAGGAGACAACTCTATAGAAGCTTTTAAGTTCTAGCTTTTCAGATTGCTGGTATGGGAATCTTATTGAAAAAAGGCTTACCAAAAGAAGTTATTTGGTCTACATTCAAACTAGATGTCCTGTATCTGTCACTAAAAAATAAAGCGCCCCAGGGTGCATTGTTCAAAGCCTGCATTCCAGTCTTCCTAGGTATAACTTGTTACAAAGTAGACGAAAACACGTCATCACATCAGTTGCCGATCTCCAGCGCTAGGAATTCTAGTGCTTATTTTTCTGCTGATTGTACAAATCTGAAATATGTAAATGTATCAAAAACCGCACCTTCTACAATTATATGAAAACAGTAATTTTATTTTTTCTTTTTCACTTCAGAACAGTCATTTCTCCTCAATAACTTAAGGGGACCCAAGTTTATATTAATAAAAGATTTGACAATGGTGTAATGTATGTTGTTGCAATAGAACTTGTCAAATAGTGTTAATATAAGTATCTTTCTCCATTAGACGAGCCAGTGCAGCACTCAATTGCTTAAAACGGTTTCATGAGATGAAGAAACGAGGACCTAAGCCTTACAGCCTCCACTTAGATCATATTATTCAGAAAGCAATCTCAACACACCAAAAAAGGGATCAGTGCCGTGTGCAGAAAGATATCTTTGTTTTAAAGGTACTCAGGTTTTCTACTTCAAATCTCAGAGAGCCTGCATAGATGATGTCATTTAGTCTGGTATAGTTAACTTTAACACTAGTACAGGCAGCCCTTGGACTTACAACACAATTGGTTCCTGAAAACCGCGTCTTAAGTCGAAATATTGTAACTCGGAACCAATTTTCTCATGAGAAACAATGTTATAAATGGGGGATTGGTTTCTGACCCAAGGCCCGATACCCTGTTTTCACCAAAAATACTCCAGAATGTTGTACTTGATCAATTATAGATGAGTAATATAGCTACATTAATGTAATTTATATTGTAAATACCAATCATATTGATTTGGAAGGACTTCTTTGAGGTGACTTTGATGGACTTTTTGAAGGGCTATTGGTTGGACTTTTTGAAGGGTTTTTGGCTGGAGTCTTCTCAGGAGTCTTTGCTCATGTAGAGCCAAGACACTTTAATAATTGCCTACAACCTGCAGCTACACTGTACAAAACAGAAATAAACTGGTATAAATGTATCACTTGCCTAGTCCCAAAGACTACAGTAAATCAAGCTTTGTATGATTTTTTTAAACATGTCCCCAGAAGTCATGATTTAATATCTCTACTTCTGTTTTTGTTTAACCCATGATCCTAAGCACTTTTTTCAGGATTCACACCACATAAGGGCTTCTGTGAAGTTAAAGTAAGCTTTTAGAAAACTATCAATATGACTTTTTGTAATGAGACTACTAGATATTTTAAATATTTTATGTGAATTCAGTTCTAAACATTTGATATAACTGTGTGTGTATATATAAATAATATAATATTTTGGTGTCCTAAGCTTTGGACAATGAAACTAGACTTTCAGATTCTTCTTGCACGAGCACCATGTTGTAGTTTCAGCCCTGTTTTTACAAAAAAAAAAATCCCGTGCTTTAGAATTTTTATTAAGTTTTAGAACTAAAACGAATTGGTGGTTTAGACCTTATTTAATGTTTTCCCAAATATTAATAGTGTAAAAGTTTACTATAGCGTATGTATTGTCAAACATTAGTTATGATATACCAAACGTTATTTATAGAACGGGACTGCAGATTTGATCATAAATGCTTTTAAGTTATGGCAACTTGCAGTTATGGTAATTTCTCATTCAAATATTACAGGATACAGAGGAAGCGCTTGTAATGAACCTTCGAGATAGCCAAGTTCTTAATCATAAAGAGAACCTTGAATGGAATTGGAATCTGATAGGGACCATATTGAAGGTAAGAAAAAATACATGACAGTGGATAGTTTTAATTGATTTTTAAAAAGGGATCTATTTTTTATACAACCTTAAAGTTGGTAGTAGTAGAAAACAATTGTGAGAGGACAATACTGAGTCTTTTTAGAAAACAGGTTTCTACTTAATTTTATTGTCAATGTACAATCATATACATTTAAGAAGTAATACATGCAAAAGATGACAAATTAACCATTTTCCAATAAGGTTGCATCAAATAATATATAAAATATTTATTTTTAAAAGTTTCTTAAACTTATAATAGTAAAACACTAGTATTAATTAGATCATTACCTGGAAATTAATATTATCTCATTTTAATCCAAAGCAGGCACTTGTCCAACATAATGCAGTGTTAGTCCATTTGAACATATTTTCTTTAATCTTCAATTTCTCTAGAGCACAGTTGAAAGTGATTACAGGTCAAGATTGAGATATTTTGGTAAGATTGTAGGAAAGCATGATATTATGTTGTCTCCTGTTTTAGATTGATATGAATATAGACCCTTTCTATTGAGATCACTTGACTCATTGTAAAATATTAAAATTGGATTATTCTTGATAAAATGAATACTCCTTTATCAGAGAATCTATAGTACAAGCAGTGCACTGCCTTATCCATTTTGAATATTACATATTTTGTGGAACAAGTGTCAGTGACCATTACTAAATTCACTGGTTCACTCTCTTATGAGTGTCTAGGATGCCTTTAGAGGTTTCTCAGTGGTTCCTATGATAGCTGCTGCTTCTGGATGTTTTTCTGACATTGTGAAGAAAGAGTAATGTTCATCTCTACACAACTGCCTCAGCTTTCATTAGTGTGTCTCCAGTATCACATTTGTAGCCATAAATTATTCTGCTCTTATTACGTTGAGGGTAAAATCTGCTATGTACAAATAATACAAAATTATTAAAGAAAAAAGGTTGGAGTATAGATGGGTAAACATCCCTGTTAGAACTGAAACTAGCAAACCATTGAAGGTGTACATATGAAATTCTGGCAAATTTGGGTACAAGAAAGGAAAAAAGTTCTGGATAGTTATTTATACATCATGTTCATCCCTGGGAAAATATAAGTACAAGGCATATAAACCTAGATGGATTTATGCTAGATTTTTTTGTTGTTGTTCAGATGACATAAATCATGTACAGTATTATCATTTTGCTGGATTACTATTATTTTTCAACCTGTTGATTTCTTTTTAATTATGTAAATTTAGTATTGATAATGTAAGTTAGTGTGAAGTCTTATGTATAAGAAGTCCATTTCCAAGTCCATTTCTACTCTTCAAAATGTCCTCTATTTAATTTCCCTATTTTGAACTGAAAGATAGAGTTGGGTGCTGAAATAAAGGCTTTTTTTATAACACTAGAGAAAATAGAAAAACTTCTCAATCATATGGCTAAATTCCATGCTGAGTTCAGATTTTCCTTAAGGTGGATTTTTCTAGTGTTCTGTTGAGTAGAGTTTTATAAGTTTCAGAAGGTGTTCTTGCAAAATCAGATACCATATTATTTTATGCCTCTCTCTCTCTTCTTAACTTCCCTAGATCCTTTGTATTATGTCAATGCAAACTGGTGTTCTAAGGGATGGTGCAGAACGGTTAAGGCATCTTGTTATAGCTTCAGAGGTGCAAGTTCAGTCATCCTAGCTGCTAATAGGTAGTTAGTCATTCATGCTAGGGAGCAAAAGGCAACTGGTTGTGACATTAGACAAAGGTGCTGGTGGAAATAGACACTGGCATGCTTTAAATATTCTATCCTGAGCTGGTCAGTTCAGATGGATCTTTGGCTTTTTTTTTTATTGTCAGCCTAGTGATTGTACTACCCCTTAAGTTAATATCTATAAATAGAAGTCTTATATTTATTTTTAACAAAAATTATTTTGATACTTTTAAATACAGACCTAACTCCATACATACTTTTTGATTTCATGTGTTGGTATTCATCCATTGTTTCTTTGGTTGAGGGTTTTCATGCATCAGTTAGTGACATTGCTTGTGTTTCAAACACTTCTAATTAATGTTTTAAATGATTATGCAGTATCACTAATTGCTTTGATAAAATGTAGCGACTTTCTTAACACTGTTTAAATCATATTTATACTAATGAGGGGGTTAAACGGAAATAGGATAGATTCTTGCACTGTGACATGAATATCATATTTGGATTTTGTTCTTTTGTTTTTCCTAATTTCCTAGTCATACCTAGGATTACTATCACTGAAATGGGGGATATTTTTCTTTTATTTAATCAGCTGTTCATTTCTAACAGCATGTTTTATAATCAGTTTCAGTCTTTACTGTCAGTTGTACTGCCCATTTCATTTATTAGGATGGTGATATCACTCTGTTATATGACTCAGGCAGGAAGAGCAGTGCATGCATATATGCTTTTTCCCCAGACCTTGAAAGAGGGTGTTTACCAATGATAACCAAAGTAAACTTGCAACTGTAGAGACAACAGATATGCATGAGCATTAAAAAAAAAATACATGGAGGGAGAAGGTATGAGCCAGAAACATCTAATGCTATTTCATTGGTCCAATCTAAAAGCCCTTTTTAAAAATCAATAGAGAATTAAAAATTCCTAATACAGTTCCAACGGTGCTGTACCAGAATTTCCAATTCCTTGAAACTGACTCATTGACAAATACAGAAAAATATCAAGTTAAATATCCCTTTAACATTTATATTTAAAGTTATTTTTTATTTATACACATGAAAAAAACAAGCAGAACTGGTTTATGCTAGCATATCATATTTTGCAGTTTTATTCTTTAGGACTCTGTAGGTACACATGGTATGCTCCCAGCACTACCTGTCTCACTCCAAAATGAAAAGAACGTGTCTGGGAGTGATGAGAACATGGGCTTTTCAGTGAAGGAAGTAAATATTACTTTAAAATTTTCATTTAATCCTGTGAACTAAGACTAAAGATGCTAAAGAACTAGGACACTTCATTAAAATGTATTGGTTTCTATATATTACAGATACATTTCTAAATATTAAGTGACTAACCCAGGACTGGTGAAAGTCTTATAATGATATATTTGCTATTTTTCTAGTGGCCAAATGTAAATCTAAGGAACTATAAAGATGAACAGTTGCACAGGTATGTAAAACTGTGGACTTCCTGTGAAGAAAGATAAATAATGACATGTTTTTTATCATTTCAATAAGCTATTCCTTGGAAATAGCATATTTTAAAATTCTAATGCGTATATAACACGAAACAGAAATCTTGGTAATTAGGTTAGAAAACCTAGAGTAATTTATTTAGGGTTAGTTTTTATTTCCTTTGCATAACTATTAACTTGTATACCCTAAAATAGAAGTATATCAATTAGCCAGTTTATGATCAGCTTTGCAAACATCCTTCATTTTATTCTGAACCCCCATGTACCCTCTCCCCCCTCCTTCCCCATCTGCACACACACACCCTTATATGCAAAAAGTAATTGACTATATGGTAAAGGATTGTTTTCCAGATCCAGCAGATTGTAGCAGTACTTTTTCTAATGAAATATTTAGAATTCTGGCTATGATGCACAGGTTGTAGTATATAGGTGTTTTCTGGATTTATGCAGTGTTCAGTGACTGGGTTATTTCATGCCAAGTAAGTTGTAAAAAGCTAGGACTCTCTAGACTGTAAAACTTGCTTCTGCAGCTGATAAACCCAGTTAGTGCCGTGTTTTTACAAAATGGAATGCTTCCATTCTTGGCTGCAATTAGAGATTTAAAAAATCCCTTTTATTTTAGATGACTCAGAGCTCTGGACTGTTAACTAGATCACCATTGTCAAAACTAGCAAACAACGAAGTTACTTTTGAGCTTTTTCCATATACCGTGTGTGTGTGTGTGTGTGTGTGTGTGTGTGTGTGTGCACACAATTTTTATGTTATCTCAATGAATTTTTAATCTGGTGTTTTTTGCATAAGAAAAACCTTATAGCTGTGGAGGTGAAACATTTAAAATTAATACAAAATACCTCTTAATGATTGAATCACAACGTATTACTTAAATTATTGCCAGCCTATCATATTTAAGAGACGCATGCAAGCATAATGCATAAGAATAATCAAACATGTATCATGTCATCACTCTGGATTTTATTTTAGACTGTTTAATTTATGAAAAATATAAAAATGGGCTTGCAAAGTGATTTTTAGGACTATCTCTAGCCTGGTTCTTCACTTAGACATGGGGAGAGACCTGATCTTACTTCTACTGTAGCTAACACCAGGGAGGGTGGGGAACCCAAACAAAGGAGTATTTATATATAGATACCTTATAAAATAACATTCTCTTTTCTCTCAAACCAAGTAATGCAGCAGATTCACTTGAGGTTTACTAATGATTTATAGAAATAGCGGTACAAGCCCTTCAAATTTCAAATGGGCTCCTGAATTCCTGGACTGATTCCATAAGAATTTAAGAAGTACCATACTGGGTTAAACCAGTGGTCCATCTAGCTTTGTATTCTGTCTCCAACAGTGGCAGAAGCGGATGCTAGAAGGTGGGCATCAAACTGGATAGATCTAGAGTGATCTATCTTCTGTTCATTACCTTGTTTGGTATCCATAATTATTGGTTTAGAGATGCCAGAGAAAACATCTCCAATCATTCTGTTCAACAGCTGTGAATAGGTGCCATCCATGCATTTATATAGTCCCTTTTTGAACCTGGCTATGCTATTTGGCTCTACCACCTCCTGTGGCAATGAATTCCACAAGTTAACTATGCATTGCATTAAAAAAATGTACTGTTTCTTATTATTTTTAAACCTGTCTCCCACTATTTTCAGAGGGCTCCCCCTTGTTCTGGTTTTCTGGGACTTGATGAACAACAGTTCTCTGTTCATTTGGTTCATACCATTCATGATCTTATGGAACTCTTATCATATTCCCCCTCAGCCTTCTCCTTTCCAAACTGCAGTGCTGTAACCTTTTTAGTCCCTCCTGGTATGGCAATTGCTCCGTGCCCCTTATAATTTTTTGTGCCCTCCTCCGTACCTTTTCTAATTCTACTGTGCCTTTTTTGTGATGCGGAGACCAGAACTGCACATTGTATTTAAGATGTGAGCTCACCATGGATTTGTGTAATGGCATGTTGTTCTCCATTTTGTTTTCCATTCCATTCTTAATTGTGTCCAGCATTTTATTAGCTTTTTTGGTTGCTGCTACACATTGAGTTGACCTTTTCAAAGAACGATCAACAATGACTCCAAGGTCTCTTTCTTGAATTCTAACAGCTAGTTTAGAAATTAGCATTGTGTACTATGTTGAAGTTATTTTTCACCAGCATCATTACTTTGTACTTGTCAGCATTGAAGTTCATCTGCCATTTTTTGCCCTGTAACTTAGCTTGGTGAGATCTTTCTGTAGCTCTTCTCCATCAGCTTGGGACATGACTTTCCAAAAGTATTTGAAAAATAATTTGTATGAACTGCAAACTTGGAGATTTCAGTATGTACCTCCATTTCCTGGTTGTTAATGAAAATGTTGGATAAATTGGGCCTACATTTGACCTCCCTTCAGCCTGAAAAGTGACTATTTAGTCCTACCTTTTGCTTCCTCTCTTTTAACCAGCTTGCAGTCCATGAAAGAACTTTTCTTCCAATGCTGCGGCAACACAGTTTTTTAAAAGCCCTTGGTGAGGGACTTTGGCAAAAGCTTTTTGCAAGTCCCGATATATTGTCAACAGTATCCCCCTTGCCCCACATGCTTGTTAACACCCTCAAAAAAACCCCATCAGATTGGTGAGGCAGGATTTCTCTTTACAAAAAGTCTTGCTGACTCTTCCCCAGCAGATCATGTTTGTCCATGTGACTGCTGATTTTGCATTTTATTATAGATTCTCCCAATTTCCTAGGGACATAAGTGAGACTCGCTGATCTGTAGTTACGTATGGGTCAATGAAAAGTTTTGACTGTAGTGAACTTGTTGCTAGATTGAACTTTTACATTTGGTCAGGGATAATGCTTCAAAAGCTGCTTGAATGGTCTGAATACAAATAGTGTCACTCTGAAAAATGTTGTATGTCACCCTCTGAAAGCATATATTTTTTCAAAGGGGAGATGCATGCCAGCCATTGTGTAGGCTGATTTTGTTTATGGAGATATAACAAGCATTGCAATAGATTTTTCTTCTTTTTTTTTTTTTTAAAAGCAGTCTGGAGAAAAAATATCCCTTCTTGTTTTCATAGCCAGATAGATATTGTAACCCATGGAAATTCTAGAGGAAAAAAATTAGCAGAAGAGTCTGTAACTAAATGAATTTGTTCTACTGTTTGTTTTTGCTATTTTCTGAAAAGGTATTCTTAACTCACTTCAAATTATAACAACCCCAGAGTTATAGACAGGACTCTTGTGGCATATAATATGATCTTTACCCCTAAAATTGTCCAGATAAAATTATTAGTTAGGCATATCAATATTTGCTCTTATACTGATAGTTTTGGGATAAAACTGATTAGTGTCAGAACTTTAACTCAGGGTTAAAGTATTCTTTGTATGCTTTTATTTTGATGCTTATGTTATACTATCACAAATAATTCATATTTCTTGGTGGTAAGCAACTAATTTTTTCATTTTAATCTTTATTAGGTTTGTACGACGACTGCTGTATTTTTACAAGCCTAGCAGTAAATTGTATGCCAACCTGGATCTGGATTATGGCAAGGCCAAGCAGCTCACTGTCGTGGGTTGCCAGTTTACTGAATTTCTCCTTGAATCTGAAGAGGTGAGAGAGGTTTTTAGTCACAAAACTGGTGAGAAAATGGCTAAGCAAACATATTTACTAAAATTAAGATCTTTATCAAAAAACTTTAGTATCCTAAAAGACTCTTAAAAAGATCAACACATCAGAAATCAAATTTAGAATCCTAAATTATCAAGGCTGGTCAGTGTAGTAGTAATTAGATAAAAGACCATTGCCAAATTAAAGTGTTTTGAAAATAAAAATGGGATTTATGGAATCTTCCATGACTACTTTTCAGTGAAGGGCAGGGTGGTACATTATGGATTAACTTGCTCAGAAAGGCATGGATGCTATGACAAAGTAGGCTGCAGCCTACAAAAACTCATGCCTTTCTGAATGACTTAGTTCATGAGGTGCCACACTGCCCTACCTTCTGCCAAACCTCAGATTGACACAGATACCTCTCTCTACTTTTCAATGCCAAACTTATATCTGTATTTTCAAGCATCTTTCCTTCAATTAGACTAAAATGTTTTATTGTGCCTTAATCCAGGAGACCAGAGACGTTTTTTTTTTCATAACTGTTCTTCTGCAAATATCAAATATCAGAATTATTCCAGTTGGCCCACAAACTAAGCAATCACTTTATTTGACTTTAGCTATTTATTTTGGCTTAATTTTATTTGGCTTGTTAGAATCTATATTGTATTAACTTCATTATAGATATGCATTCTGAGAGATTTAAATGAATGCATTTTAGCAAACAAAAGCAAAAAAAAAATCAATTAAAGCTGTTCCATTACTAAAAACTAAAAAATATCTCCTTACTTTTTTGTTAGGATGGACAAGGCTATTTGGAGGAATTGGTAAAAGATATTGTACAGTGGCTCAATTCTTCCTCTGGAATGAAACCGGAACGCAGCCTTCAAAACAATGGGCTGTTGAATACACTTAGTCAGCACTACTTTCTTTTTTTTGGTACACTTTCATGTCACCCTCATGGCGTAAAAATGCTTGAAAAATGCAACGTGTTCCAGTGGTAAGTACTTTTATTTACTCCAGTTTATAATATGTGGTGGATCTGTCATTTAAAACTATCACAACTATCATTTAAAATGTTCGCATAAGGATCAGTCTCTACAAAACTTTAAGTCTGGGACTTGAACTCCCCAATATCTTCAGAAAAAGTTTTTGGAGTACAGTAGTTTTGCCAAATGATCTGAAGGTCAACAGAATTGATGCAAACTACCGAACCATTGCTGACCTTGAGACCTTTCTTTTTCCAGTGCATTTCTGACTAACAAATCTTGATGACTCTATCAGAAAGTATATTTCAGTACATAGATAGAAACGGGCAGGCAGCATGTACTATTGAATATCATGCTAATGTTCAAGTAGCCATTGTGGCATGTTATGCCCAATCTTTGCTGAAATATCCTTTATGTTGAATGGTAACGTTTTATTCTGATCCAAAATAGTAAAATGGTTGGGAACCTTTAGTAATGATATGGAAGGGTGATTGTAGTAATAGTAGGTTTTGAGAGAAGATTCAGCTAGGCATGCAACTGAAGTTCCAGTTCCTTTAAATCATGACTTCTTTATGACAGAATCAGAAGTTTTAGCATTCTACAGCAGTGTTATAAAAGGTAAAGATTTGGATTTTATCTTAACTATATGAAGTAAGTTAACATTGGGGTAACCCTTTAATAAGATGAAATTCAAGCATTTGTTTCATATGATTTTAACTAGGGGTGCTTAGCCCCCAGCCCAGCTGGCCTATAGCACCTTGTCATCTGCCCTGCAGGAGTCCTTACAGGCCCTGTGTACTGGATCAGTTTCTTAATCCCAGTGTGCAGGGTAGCATCAGGCTCTGGGCCCCCAACACCCTATCCTAGTACCGAAGGGCAGGAGGTAGCAGGCCCCACAGCCTTATCTTGACATGTGGGGCTTGATTCAGCCTGTAAACCAGGCTCACGCCACGCATTTGGCCTACGGGATCAAAACTTTGAGCACACTTATCTTAACCAATAATACTGACAAGTATGTCTTATTAGTCATTTAAAAATTTACTTTCTATGGTGTTCTTACGGAAAAAAGTCAGTGGTGCTACATGAAATCTATATACAGCCTATGTACAGCCTTTATGAATTTAAAATAATTTAATTGAATGCATGAATTAATCCATTTTTCTGCTTCATTTAAAAAATATGAAAAGTTAACTCAGATTACATGTAAACGTTGTCTATTGAATAAAATATCCAAGTGAGATAAACGAGTTCAAAAAGTAATAGTGTGTTTCAACTTTTTTCTAGTCTTCTTAATCTCTGTTCTTTGAAGAACCAGGATCATTTACTAAAACTGACCGTGTCTAGTTTGGATTACAGCAGAGATGGGTTAGCAAGAGTCATCCTTTCCAAAATCCTAACTGCTGCTACTGATGTAAGTGTAATTAAGTACTCTGTTCTTATTTACCATTAGACATTTAATTCATTTGATTATTTAATTTAATCAGACATGTATGGTTAAAATGTCACTTATAAACTGGTTTCTTTTTTCTATAATTATGGAATATATACTTCCACTGGACTCCCATGCAAACTTTTAAAAAGATAAGCAGTCTTGTGTATACCTTGTCTCTGCATCTGCATGGGAGCAGCCACAGATGCAGGAATAAAGAAAGGGTAAAAAATTGAACTTTGGAACTGGTGTTGATGTAACAAAAAAAGAAGAAAGAGTAGGCTAAAAATGAAACAGGTGTACTGGATAATTAATAAAAGAAAAATGTTTAGGTTTTGATATTGGTTCCAATGGAGAGCATCAACACTGATGCCAAAAAGACTGAGGAATAACTGAATACATTTTTGAGACTCATTCAGGAAAATACTATAAAATAAGAGTTATATATACTCTTATATGATAAGAGTAACTCCTTTGTAGACCAGAGAAAAAAGAACCCAGAACTCCAAGAAGAGTGTAAAGAAGGAAAATTGAAGACTGGATTTTGAAGAGAAGGATGTAGGTATGATGGAGAGTAGTATTTCTTTGAAGCTAGCAAATATGGGAGGATTCCTGTATGCTATGGGGAAAGAAGTGAGAGTGAGAACAAGAGAAGTTGAGAATAGTGGCAGGCTGAAAGTGGAAGGCAGGTGCTCATTTGCTGCCTGTAATTACTGATACAATTCTTTAAAGATATCATGACTATGCAGTTTTGGCTCTTGGGTCCTGTACTTCAGAATGAAGTAGGAAGCTCTAAGTTTGTTTGTACATTGGGGCGGGGGGGGGAGGGGGAAGTGAGAGTGAGAACAAGAGAAGTTGAGAATAGTGGCAGGCTGAAAGTGGAAGGCAGGTGCTCATTTGCTGCCTGTAATTACTGATACAATTCTTTAAAGATATCATGACTATGCAGTTTTGGCTCTTGGGTCCTGTACTTCAGAATGAAGTAGGAAGCTCTAAGTTTGTTTGTACATTGGGGCGGGGGGGGGAGGGGGA